AATTAATAATAAATATATATATATATATATATATATATATATATAACAAAATATTGTCGAAAACAATTATTAAATCAATATATAAAATTAAAAAGTGCAAAATACAAATATTTTTAAATATATATTAATAATTTAATTAAAATACATGGTGCATCTCTCAACTCTCTCACCATAATGTAAGTTTGCTTCTACGTGGGATAATTGCATACATAGTGAACTTGTTGTGTAATATATATATATATTATGTGTTACTATATTTTTATGTCAATTAAAATCAAAGTGCCCCGATCGAATCCATATTTGAAAAAATAGGAAACGGTATCATTTAAAAAAAAATTAATTAGATACTTTATAACCAATATTTTGAGAAAAAAATTATAAAATTGCTAGTTTTATTTAATTCTTTCATTCTTGGTGAGCTAATCGTATGTTCTTGAATTATTGAAGTAAAACAATTATTTAATTTGAGAATTAATAATTTTAATTACTTATGTTATTAAAAAAATTCTTTAACATTTTTTTGCATTTAGAAATAAATTTATAAAAAGTTTATTCGAACAAAACTGTAGTTTTCTTTTCATCAAAAAACTAAATTCTGTTGGTTTGTTGTTGCAATCAATTATTTTGCGGTGCATTGCAAGAGATTATTGAAAGTATACCCTTTAATTTGTTTTCCAAAATAAAAATCGTGAAAATATCAGTATTTCAGTTAATTTCATGATATATTTATAAATAAGAATCTAACAAATTAAACGCCACGGTATAATTATTCAGCCACAGTCGGAAAATATAAATTAAAAAGAACAACAACTAAAATATGTAATTCATGGTTAATTTTATATATTTTTTTCATCCTTCTTTATACTTTTTGCAGCATAAATAAATAAGATGGCGACCACCAAAATTTGAGTTGGTCTCAATGCAAATGCATGCAATGTGCAATCGAAGACAAATTATACATGTTTCTAACATAGCACAAAATAAATAAATAAATAAATAAGGAGGTGAAGACCCAAAATTCATGAAGCATTAACAATTAGTAGTAGCTGTGTTGTTTTTTGGTTCGGTTATTGGAAGAAATGAATGAAACTAGAGCCATGGAGAGGAATGAGACCAAAAGAAAAGCAGTTGCAACGAAGCCTCGAATTAAAATCTTGCCATAGGTGGACCTAAAGCCATATTCATCTTTAACTCTCTCCTCGATGAACTTTTTTAATTCCACAGACAATGCAAAACCAGCACCAATGCCTATCCCCAGAACCATACTAGTTACCTGCAATTTCATTTTTCACATAGATATGTATTAATTAAATTTTAAAAGGCTATCAAATTTTAATAAAAAAATGGGACCCTGCTATGTTATGTAGTTTTCAATTGGAGAAAATTTTAGAAGACTATTCTCACTTTAATAATTATTTATTTTTAAATGAAAAAAATTCAATTTAAAATGTGAATAAATTTATTTTTTGATTAATAGAAGACTTTTGAATTTTCAAAGTCTTAAAAATTTTAGAAAAAAAAATGGGTCCTAGCTATATAGTTTTGAGTGAAATTTTTTTTTTAGAAAACTATTCTACTTAAATAATATATAGATATAGACATAAATATAGATAAATTAATTTTAAATTTGAATTTGAATGTATAATTATATTTAAAAAAATTAAAAATAATCATTATTTCACTACTATATGTATTTTTTTTAATGATATTTTCAAGTATTTGTGAAAAATTATTTGATTTCAATTGACGTAAATTCAATTTATTAAAAGCTAATATTTTTCTTTTTACAATTAATAACAAATATTTGAATTTTAAAAGGCAAAATATTTTAGAAAAGAATGGACCCGAGTTATGTATGAGTGACAAAATATATTTAGAAGACTTTTCTATCTTTAATACTATTTAGGTAACGTGTTATCATTTTGTTTTACCAAAATTTAATGTATTTAAATTTATTAAATAGTGTTAGATATCAAAGAAGTTGTTTTATTTGACTATACATAGGCATGGCAACGGGGATGGCGGGGGCGAGTTTTACGTTCCTCGCCCCCGCCCCAGCCCCCGATACTCGCCGGGGGTAAAATCTAGGTCCCTATCCCCGCCCCCGGCGGGATTCGAGTTTCCCCGCCCCGTCCCTGCCCCCGTTCCTATTTTTTTTCTTTTTTCTTTTAAATAAATATGAACAATTTTAAAAAAATAAAAGAAAAGAAAAATAATAAAAAAATTTACATATAAATATTTCTAAATTTGATTTATATATATATATAAATAATTTTTTAATTATATTATTAAGCGGGGCGGGGCAGGGGCATGGGCGGGTATGGGGGCGGAGCGGGCTGGGTAATAACATCCCCGTCCCCGCCCCCGCCCCCGATTTGATCAATCGGGAAAAACCCGAACCCGATAAACACGGATTTTCCCCGTCCAAATCGGGGCGGGTTCGGGCGGGTACCCACGAGGGCGGGTTAGATTGCCATGCCTAACTATACATAATATATTTATTTCTTTTGCTCATGTTTAATCATTTCATTTAGACACAAAATTTGGAAGAAAATAAATAAATAAAAATAGTTACTCTATTTAAATATATATAATATATTTATTTTATTAATGAAAATAATTGTTTTTATTTTATTTATATTATACATAATATATAAAATAAATGATACGTATATGTTTGAAAAATAAAATTTTATAAACATTCAACATAATTAATATATTTTAAAATAATAATATAAATCAATATATTACACTAATTATTAATTACAACCCAAATACAAAACTTAAATATAATTCATAAAAAAATATTAAATCATAAAATTGTATTACAGAAATAAATATTATTTAATATATTATTTTTTCACTAATAATAAGATTAATTTTGATGTTAAAAATTTAATATTTATTTTTTAATACATTCAAGCTCTATTAAATAAAAAGTCGTTATAATAAAATAATTTAGTTATTTTTTTTATAATTATAACATTTTTTTAATATGTCTTATATCTTATATGCTTTTAAATTATAATAAGAGCGTTTATTTAATGCAATTTACATTTCAAATACATATGTTAAGAAAAAAAATTACATTTATTTGATTTCCATATTTTTAATAATAATATATATGTATATAAATTAATACAATGTTAATAAAATGAAACGCCAGTTAGTAATTACATTATATATATATATATATATATATATATATATATAATTTTTTAGTAATATTGTTTTAATTACATGCATGTAATTTAATAGTTATTTTGAGGAAAATTTATTGCATGGAGAACTTAAAGAAAAATTATGCACTTAATAGTAGTTTGAGCAATAAATTTTTTTAGAAAGCTATTCTACCTTTAATAATATATAGATTTATTTTTAATTGATGTAAATTCAATTTAATAAATGCTAATAATTTTTTTTACAATTAATAGAAAATATTTAAATTTTATAAGACTAAAAAGAGATAATTTGTTTTAGAAAAAAAATGAGTCTGAACCATATAATTTTGAGAAAAGAAAATCTTAGGAGACTATTCTACTTTTAATAATATATAAATTTATTTTTATTTATTATGAAAAGTTAATAACGTATTATAATTAAGTAATAATTTATCATTGGATGATAATGTAAAATTGTAATATATATATATATATATATATATATAAAAGGAGGGTTATAATTATATATATAAAATTTTATATTAATTTAAAATGATTTAATATTTCATTCTTATAAAATAAGATTTACGTAATATATATATTTCAAAATATATTAAAGTATAAACATTTTGATTACCTTCAAGTTGTTATTTAATTTTAATAAAATTTGATATAAACATATAAAGTGATATGAACTTTTAATTTAACGATGGAATTTACAAAACTCACATTTAATATAAAGTTATTGAGCGGTGTAATATTTAGTAAAAGTTATACCGGTGTTATTATAACCCTCCTCTATATATATATTATAACATAAAAAAATATGTAATATTATATATTGATTGTGTATTATGATGTACGTATATGAATGCACTAATTGTTCGAAATTTATTAAAGAGTTGACCTCATTTAAAATGTTTTTTTTTAATATTAAGATTTTTTTTTATATCCAAAATTCAAATTCAAAACTTTTATTTAAAGTGATTATGCTGCATCACTCGGATGAACATATCGTGTTGATTTTTACGGTGCTCCTTGATTTATATTATTGAATCAGTGAGTATATATATAGGCGATAATATAATAAAATAAAATATGAAATGGGCAAACCTTGTCTCCATAGAAGTCAAATTCTGGCAAGAATTCATTGTCTATCAATCTCCTCTCTCGTATTGCATAATAAATGGCAAATGGAAGCTGCACTATGCAATATAAACAAGTAATTGCTGCAATAGCTACCTCCAGGCTGCAGTTTTGACACATATACATGGCACCAATGAAACATAAACATTAAAGTTAATCGAAGCATACCAATAAATCCATCATATAAACAAGAGAAATATACTATCTCCTCCGAATTAAATTCGACCAATTAACATTGAAATCAAACACTTTTATTATTTTGATGAGTCAGATGATATTTCGAAAGTATATTCGAATGCTTAATATTTTCCATAAATAATCACTCCATAACTTTTGGATTAATTATAAGCAGAAAGTCAAGATTAAAGTTTTAATTATGATGATTATTAAAGATTGTCTAAGTTACTGTTTAATATAAAATATTTAATTCAATCTTATAAAATTAATTTATGTATATATCGCATATTAAAATCAACTTATTCGTGTTAACTATGGGAGTGAATTTAACTCGATTGTACAAAATAGATTTATAAATCTCTGTTAATATATATTACTTTAAGTCTATTTAAATACAAATTAAAAATATATTTGAAAGCTTTTCAAATAAAAAGAGTTTTTTTTTTTTTTTTTAAAACTTTCAAAACTTATATTCAGTGGATTATTTGACTAATATCTTCCACTTATATTATACATACATTTTTGTTGTTGAAAATATTAGTAATTGGTGTGAAAATATCTAACACGAACTTCTCTCACGTCAAAAACTAAACATTTACGATTCATTTGATAATGATCCTGGATTGTTCAAGAGGTCCAACAATATTAATTAGACAAATTGACTTATAAAATATGAGATATCTCCCACTATATAGATTACTTTGACCTTATAATAACCTGGAAAAGTTCATGTACGAAAAACCCTATAAGCTTGGATGGTGTTTTTACCTGTATGTATTGAAATCTTGATATTTCACCTCTGCACCACTGTCAAATTTGTACTTGTTTGTAACCAGCAAGGCCATAGATGCTGCTGCGGTTGCAAGAGCAACTATCCTTAGCACAAGCATTGAGTTAGCGACACGTTTGGTCACCATTTTTACTTCAAATCAAAGCTCTTTTGCTCCTACCTAGCTGGCTAGTCGTCTCTTATCTGTTCAATTATTGTTACATTCGTGACTACCGAAAAACAAATCCTTTTTATACACAAAACTAATAAAGACGGCTATGTTTGTTTCTCTATCCTCTCTCCTTACCTCCAAATGTTGACATCATTTTAATCTACAAAACCTTGTCTTTTGTATTTGGATGAGTGTTGAAGGCTTGGGGCTATGACAGGTGTTAATACAGCGTTCAATGAATCACCCCTCTCTAAAGAAAAATATAAACATGTCTGTTTAAGCTTAAAAATAGTTTTTCAATACAATTTTGTAACATCCTAATTTTTTTTTAAAAAACTATTAAAAGAATATTTTAATTAATTAAATAGATTTTATAAGTATATTATATGCTTTTTAAATAATTATGAGTGTTTTTATTAATTAAAGAAGAGTTTGTGAAATTATTTATATTATTAATTCCTAGAGATATAAATATATTTTATTTACATATGTTGATTATATATTATGGTTTTGATTAATTTAGAGATTTTATAAATAAGAATGTTTTTAGATAAGGAAAATAAAGATTTCAAAATTATTTGTTTTTTTTTTAATATATTTTTTTAAATAACACTTACTTAGAACACTTTTTTTAAGTTTAAACAAATAAACTCATATTTAAAAATAGAAAGATTTTGTTAGCTACGGTGATCATATCTAATTCAAGTAAAATTGTCTTCTTAAAAATACAATTAATTAAAAGTGTTCTTTTCCTTAAAAAATTCTGAAGAAATTGGAAGCATATTCTTCTTGGGAAAGCTTAGAGATATTCTATTCGTTTGTCTGATCCTAAATTAAGTTTCGATACTTGCTTCTACATAAATCTAAATTTTGCGAGCTGTGCTGGTCCAAAGTGCCCTTAATTTGGATTTGTCTATCATAGGACTCTGCTAAAGAATTTGATATTGACAATGGCTAAGATTTACACCTTAAGTTATCCACAAATCACAATGCTACGTCATGCTTTCAGAAACAAACAAAAAATAATTTTCTATTAATTAATAGAGGCAGCATAGTAAAATCTATTGATCGATGCTCAACTGTGGCCCAATAAATTGATGAAACAAGTGCCAGATGGCAATGGATTGAATGTAATTAACAAACCTCTTTTCTGCCAGCTCTATGGGGGAACACATTTCAGTCAACACGTGAGAGATATTGTGAATCACAAAAGCGTAGTGATGATAATTAGAAATTACATCTTTCATAAAATTAGTGTTAAATAAAAAAAAATTTTATTGAAAAAATATATCTGCATGTTTAGAAAAGGAGAAACATGCATGGTGTTTAAATTAATTTTTTTAATATATAAATTAAATCTTCAAATTTTTAAAAATTTTAAAAATTAATTAATATCTTATTTTATTAATTTAAATTAATAAATAATCATAAAAATATTTAATATATTGATTTAAATTAAAGAGATACAAGAGATATCAAAATTCATATACATATCATAAAAAGATACTAACTCGCTACGTAAGATTATGATCTATTTAAATTCCAAAGATAATAAATAGATAATAACCATCTGTTCATCAGTCCTACAACTTTGGCCCGAGCAAGGAAAACACTCATTGTTTCTTAACCTTCACCCATGTGGCTTTGAGAACCAAATAAGTCACACTACCTTTAGGCCAAAGTACATTCCCACATGTTATTAATTACTCTCCTTTGCTCCTCTAATATTTTCAAATGTTGTGTGGACGGGACAAACAATGAAAGGGATTGGTTTGAGGATAATATTAGTTGAGTTATAGGGAATGAGAGAAACATTATGTTCTGGAAACATAAGTGGGGGGTCTAGTTCCTTTGAAAAATTTGTTTCATAGGTTGTAGAGTGTATCATAACAAAAACTGTGTTATATTTATGATATGGGTAGAGATGGGAGGAGGAAACATGGAGATGAGAATTTAGGTGGAGAAGGAGTCTCTTTACTTGGGAAGAGGAGTTACTTTCTATGATGCTCACAGTAATTTCAAATATAAAAATGCAGCGACATAAGAATGATATATGAAAATGGAATAGGGATAATTCTGGAACTTTCTCTATAAAATCAGCCTATTTCACCATCAGTGATAATGCCACATGCCAGGATAAGTCATTCTATAACAGGTTTTGGAAGACTGGTGCACCAACCAAAATGATGGGTTTGGCGTGGAAAATTATTCATAATGGGATTCCGTTAAAAGATAATTTACTAAAGAGATCAATCATTCATCCAAATTCTGATTTGATGTGTCCATTATGCAAATAAGGAGTGGAGACTTCAAAACATTTGTTCTTTGAATGTAGATGCTCATACTCATTGTGGTAGAAACTGTATGCTTGGTTAGGATTTGAAAGTGTGTTACAATCTGATGCGAGACTTCATTTTTGAGGACATACTGGTATAAGGATCTTTAAGCATTGTGAAACGGTTTGCGATGCCATTTGGTTTATTTCTGTGTGGAGCATTTGGAGTTGGAGAAACCACATCATATCGTCTATAAGACGATGAGAATCAGACGAAGCATACAATATGTTTCATATACATTAAATTAATGTTCATTATTATTATTGATCCTAACAACAAAATTTATTTGAATGTTATATTCCTTAACAAATCAAACTAGAAAGTCATCTTGGAACCCACAAATCTATTAAAAAGAACAAGGTCATGCTTTCCATCATAACCAAGGACGAAGATCCCTAAAATCATGGAGAAAAGAAGATAAAGACATTGTTGTTGCTACTCTGCACTAAAAATGTTTCTACAAGCTTCATTCTGTATGGAAAGATGATAAGTAACTTCTTTAATTAGATAGGAGGTACCATTTGGTAAAATACATTTAATGCTTACATTAAATGAGTCAACAGTTACCTCCCATTACAAAGAAAGATGTTAAAGATAAACAAAACAAACTTATGAGCTTATTATTATTTATTTTCTATATCACTTTTTTATTTCGTCATGTTTAAATCGAACAAGATTGTAGTGTGAACCACAAAGCTTTCTTTCTTAGTATTTAACTCAATCTCGGAGTCATTGATAAATTAAGTTGGAATAATTCCGCAATAGTTATTTTTACCATAGGATGGTTTAACTGTTTTTTTTTTTTTTTGTTAAAACATATTTTTTCATAACATTCAATTCCATTAAAAAAAAAAAAAGTTGATTAGTCCTAATATACAATTGTGTTGGATATATAGGACCTCTTTGTGTAAACTTATTTTTTTAACTCATCAAAATTATAATGATAATATCAGGTTCGAATCTAAAATCTTGTATGTACATCCCAATCCTTCCTGTTTGCTTAAACTTTTTTTTCCTTATAAATGTGTCTTTTTAAATAAATAAGCACTTTTTAATTTTTTGATGTGTTTGTTTAAATTTTTTTATATAAATAAACAACTTTCTATTTTAAAAAAAAAAAAACTCATATCTGTTTTTTTTTTAATATATTTTTTTAAATAACACTTACTTAGAACACTTTTTTTAAGTTTAAACAAATAAACTCATATTTAAAAATAGAAAGATTTTGTTAGCTACGGTGATCATATCTAATTCAAGTAAAATTGTCTTCTTAAAAATACAATTAATTATATATATATATATATATATGTATGTATATCACGTATATAAAAAAAAAAGGAAAGAATTAGAAATTCATGAGACAAAAAAATGATGTTACATAAATAGTTATATGGATATCATTTTTTTTGTTATTTTATTATTATTTATTTTCTATATCACTTTTTTATTTCGTCATGTTTAAATCGAACAAGATTGTAGTGTGAACCACAAAGCTTTCTTTCTTAGTATTTAACTCAATCTCGGAGTCATTGATAAATTAAGTTGGAATAATTCCGCAATAGTTATTTTTACCATAGGATGGTTTAACTGTTTTTTTTTTTTTTTTGTTAAAACATATTTTTTCATAACATTCAATTCCATTAAAAAAAAAAAAAGTTGATTAGTCCTAATATACAATTGTGTTGGATATATAGGACCTCTTTGTGTAAACTTATTTTTTTAACTCATCAAAATTATAATGATAATATCAGGTTCGAATCTAAAATCTTGTATGTACATCCCAATCCTTCCTGTTTGCTTAAACTTTTTTTTCCTTATAAATGTGTCTTTTTAAATAAATAAGCACTTTTTAATTTTTTGATGTGTTTGTTTAAATTTTTTTATATAAATAAACAACTTTCTATTTTAAAAAAAAAAAAACTCATATCTGTTTTTTTTTTAATATATTTTTTTAAATAACACTTACTTAGAACACTTTTTTTAAGTTTAAACAAATAAACTCATATTTAAAAATAGAAAGATTTTGTTAGCTACGGTGATCATATCTAATTCAAGTAAAATTGTCTTCTTAAAAATACAATTAATTAAAAGTGTTCTTTTCCTTAAAAAATTCTGAAGAAATTGGAAGCATATTCTTCTTGGGAAAGCTTAGAGATATTCTATTCGTTTGTCTGATCCTAAATTAAGTTTCGATACTTGCTTCTACATAAATCTAAATTTTGCGAGCTGTGCTGGTCCAAAGTGCCCTTAATTTGGATTTGTCTATCATAGGACTCTGCTAAAGAATTTGATATTGACAATGGCTAAGATTTACACCTTAAGTTATCCACAAATCACAATGCTACGTCATGCTTTCAGAAACAAACAAAAAATAATTTTCTATTAATTAATAGAGGCAGCATAGTAAAATCTATTGATCGATGCTCAACTGTGGCCCAATAAATTGATGAAACAAGTGCCAGATGGCAATGGATTGAATGTAATTAACAAACCTCTTTTCTGCCAGCTCTATGGGGGAACACATTTCAGTCAACACGTGAGAGATATTGTGAATCACAAAAGCGTAGTGATGATAATTAGAAATTACATCTTTCATAAAATTAGTGTTAAATAAAAAAAAATTTTATTGAAAAAATATATCTGCATGTTTAGAAAAGGAGAAACATGCATGGTGTTTTCTTTTAATAAAAGA